CTTGGAGTTTTATGAAGAAGAATCTACAGGGGATGGGGGTAGGTCAAGGTTTTGGAAATGGGGGTAGGTCAAGGTTTTGGAGTTTTATGAAGAAGAATCTACAGGGGATGGGGGTAGGTCAAGGTTTTGGAGTTTTATGAAGAAGAATCTACAGGGGATGGGGGTAGGTCAAGGTTTTAGAAATGGTATAGGTGCAATTTATTCAGAACAAAAGGCAAAATTAATTGTGAACAATGTGGTGACAGAAGAATTTAAGATTGAGAAAGGGACACGACAAGGTTGCCCAATCTCTCCATTGCTTTTTATATCGGTCCTGGAGGTTCTGTTAAATATGATTAGAAGGGACCAATTGGTTAAAGGTATACAAGTGGGAACTAAACAGTACAAACTGAAAGCATTTGCTGATGATTTGGTATTGACTTTACAGGAGCCAGAATCTAGTACTAAAGGAGTACTGGAACTGATTCAAGAATTTGGTCAGGTAGCAGGCTTTAAGTTGAACAAGACAAAAACTAAGGTTTTAGAGAAAAACCTAACTGAGATAGAGAGAGATATGTTTCAGAAGGAGACAGGATTAACATTGGTTAAGAAAGTGAAATATTTAGGGGTTAACATGACTGCTAAGAACATGAATTTATTTAAGGATAATTATGAAAAATGCTGGATTGAAGTGAAAAAGGACTTAGAAATATGGTCAAATTTGAAGTTATCACTGTTAGGCCGAATTGCTGTGATAAAAATGAACGTACTGCCAAGGATGCTGTTTTTGTTCCAAACATTGCAAATCTTGGACAAAATGGATTGTTTCAAGAAATGGCAGAGAGATATCTCTAGATTCGTCTGGCAGGGCAAGAAGCCTCAAATAAAATTTAAGATATTAACTGATGCTAAAGAAAGAGGTGGATTTGCCCTGCCAGACCTTAAACTTTATTATGAATCAGCCGCTTTTTGCTGGCTGAGAGAGTGGCTGCTTCTTGAAAACACTGATGTGCTGGACTTAGAAGGTTTCAACAATGTATTTGGTTGGCATGCATATTTGTGGTATGACAAGGTTAAAGCACATAAAGCGTTTAAAAACCATATTGTTAGAAAAGCATTGTTTAATGTCTGGATAAGATATAAGGACTTGTTAGAAAATAAAACCCCAAGATGGTTGTCACCAATGGAAGCGAAGACTCAGAAAAAACTCAATATGGAGGCCAAATGGCCGAAATATTGGGAAATTTTGGAACAAGAGGGAGACAGAATAAAATTGCAGAGCTTTGAAAAATTAAAAAACAAAGTGCGAGACTGGCTCCATTATTACCAAATAATGGAGGCATATAATTTGGATAAAAAGCTTGGCTTCCAGGTGGAAAAATCAAAATTGGAAACAGAATTGTTAGACCCCAAAATTAAGAATTTATCAAAAATGTATAACTTGCTGTTGAAATGGAACACTCAGGATGAAATGGTGAAATCAGCTATGATTAAATGGGCACAAGATGTTGGACACAATATCATGATGGCTGACTGGGAACAGTTATGGACTACAGGTATGAAGTTTACGGCATGTAATGCTTTAAGAGAGAATTTAATGAAAATGATTTATAGGTGGTACGTGACACCAGTCAAGCTTGCAAAAATTTACCATTTGCCCGAAAATAAATGTTGGAAATGTAATGAGACTGAAGGTACATTCTTTCACCTTTGGTGGACGTGCCCAAGGATTAAGACATTCTGGGAGATGATCTATAATGAAATGAAAAAGGTATTTAAATATACCTTCCTGAAGAAACCAGAGGCTTTTCTCCTGGGCATGGTTGGCCAATTGGTGACAAAGAAGGATAGAACTTTCTTCATGTATGCTACAACAGCAGCAAGAATACTTATTGCAAAGTATTGGAAGACACAAGATTTACCCACCCGGGAAGAATGGCAGATGAAGCTGATGGACTACATGGAACTGGCGGAAATGACTGGCAGAATCCGAGACCAGGGAGAAGAGTCGGTGGAAGAAGACTGGAAAAAAATTAAAGACTATTTACAGAAATACTGTAAAATTAATGAATGTTAGAAGGATGCTGAAATGAAGTTATATGGCTTTAGCAGAAATGTTATAAAGAATTAAGTGAAAATAGACTGTTAATGGGCTAAAGGGGAAAAAAATAAGGTCAGATTGTGTTAAGATAAATTATGGGACAAAAACTGAGAAAGATGGAAAGGATTTGCTGAAATAGCTAATTGAACTAGAATACAAAAAAGGGAGGTGTGAGGAGGTCGTCGAAACAAGTAAATGAAAGATAAGATATGGAAATATTGGATGCGTTTTTAATTGTTTTTGTTTTTGTTTTGTTAAGATAAGTAGTGTTTTCTGTTTTATATGTATTGTATTGTATTGTTTTGCTTTGTTTAACTTTTTTTTCCTCTCTCTTTTTTCTGTAATTTCTAAACTCTTAATAAACATTAATTTTTTTTTTTAAAAAAAGGATCCAAAGGACGTCAGCACATCAACAGAGCATGGGTTGGGAACCTATGGCCCTCCAGATGTTACTTGGAACACAATTCCCATTATTCCTGGCCATTGGCTGGCCCTGAGTTGAAGCCCAACAATGTATGGAGGACCACAGAGTCTCCACCCCTGACCTAGAGCTTCTGAGACCCATTCTCTTATCATAGTAGATCCCTTTGCCAGCAGTTCTTAAACTGTTTTCCCCTGCAAACCATTTGAAAATTGCTGGGGATCTCAGCAGACCACTTAAATCCCCCCCCCCCCACTTTTCTTGATTCTACAAATCAAGGCACATGCTTTGGGTTTTTTTCTTCACTACCTGGATCACTGTGAATTCTAGTCTCATTATGAAAACCACAAGCTTTAATGCAGGCATTATTGTTCTGCTTTGATAATCCAGCCCTGGTAAAGAGAGTCTCATTCTCCATCATATACCTGAAGGAGCATGTCCACCCCCATAGTTCAGCTGAGGGCCTTCTGGCAGTTCCCTCACTGTGAGAAGTGAAGTTACAGGGAACCAGGCAGAGGGCCTTCTCAGTAGTGGTGCCCACCCCGTGGAACGCCCTCCCATCAGATGTCAAGGAAATAAACAACTATCTGACTTTTAGAAAAACACCTGAAGGTAGCCCTGTTTAGGGAAGTTTTTAATGTTTGATGTATTTTTGTAACTTTTATATTTTGTTGGAAGCCACCCAGAGTGGCTGGTGAAACCCAGCCTGATGGGTGGGGTATAAATAATAAATTTATCATCATCATTATCATAATCAGAATTAATGATAAGTGCAATAATAATTATTACATGTTCCACAACCTTTCCATGGATCACCTGAGTGGAGTTCATGGATTACCAATGGTCCACAGATTACAGTTTGAGTACATCTGCCCTACTCTATCCAGTATAGAAATGAAATGTATAAGAACAAGAAACCATTCCTGGAAACTGAAGGGAGAAGCCTAAGGCAGCATGAGGAGCTGTAGTCAGAAGTTGCAGAAGCCCCACTGTATGAGCACAAGTGCTTGGACACACACATTGGGGTATTTGCATACTATAATTAATGTGGGCAGAAGGGAACAGATGTTCTTCTTTATCCCCTATATCTTCCCTTTAGGGAAGAGGAAACAGCTTTGAACTGCAAAACATGCTGATGAAGATATAAATAAATTGGTTCGTCTGTTTTTCAAGTGCTTGAGTTGCATAATTTAAAAAAATCATTCATTAAGCCTGCTCCAAAATACAATCCCTTATTCATTAATAGCCCTTATATTTATAGCTCTATGGTTGCTTTGCCCCACTGTGAGTGGCTGAACTGCTATGACGTCACAGTGATGCATTTCAGGCAAAGGTGTAATTTTCCCTCCGTCTGCCTGTCAGGATCTGGAGTCAGTAGTAGGTCAGCAATGAAAACACCAGTGTCAGTGAAGTTAACTCTTCATTCAAAAAACCCAAAACAGCACAGGCCTAGTGAGCACAGCAACTCTTCCCAGTAGGTGCTGCCCCAAGGAGGCAGTTGTGAGGACTGAAGGTCCTTCCCACTGCTCTCTAAGGCTCAGGTCCTCTAAGGCCCCAGGTCCTTCCCCTCTCTTTGCTCCACACGCTTCATATCTCTGCATGTTCTGGGAGACCAGGGTGAGGGGAAGACTCCCTAGGCTGCCTCCTTGTTGCCTCTTGGCCCCCCTCCTCTCCAGACTCATCTCCTGCCTCTGAGCCTGAACTGCTCTCTGCCACAGCCCCGTCCTTCTCACTAAACCCTTTTACCTCTTTAGCTTCTGACACTTCTTCCTCCCAGTCTGCTCTCTCTGGCCACGCACCATCATCCCACCACCAATCCCCAAGCTCTGAGACTTCTTCCCCTGGGGGTTCCCTAGCTGGTTTGTCTCCCACCACTCCTCTGCATCCAACCAGTCCATGACATTGCCTTAGAGCAGGCTTCCTCAACCTCAGCCATCCAGATGTTTCTGGCCTACAACTCCCATAATCCCTAGCTAGCAGGACCAGTGGTCAGGGATGATGGGAATTGTAGTCTCAAAACATCTGGAGGGCCAAGGTTGAGGAAGCCTGCCTTAGAGACTTAGTAGCTCTGATGTTACAGAGAGCCTGGCTAGCCTTGGGGTAGACAGCTGAGGGTCAAGAGCAATTTGGACATGAACTTTAAGGCTGAGAAAATAACTTGCATTAAATTAAACCATGTGAATATGACTTCCGCTGCAACCCTAACTCCACTTACCTGTGACTAAACCCTATTCAATTCAACAGGACTTACTTTTGCGTAGACACCATTAGGATGTCAATTATCTTTCAGTTATCATGATCTTTCAAATGAAACCTTCTGGATGTGGTCAGCTAAATGTGTTTTTAAATTTTAAATGCTGCCAGACAGAAAGGAATACGCGTGATGATATTTTGCTAGCCTTTTGTCTCAGCTCACATATGTCTAATGCCTGACTGACAGACCAGACAAATCCTGCATAATGTATGTTTTTTGAGCCATATCACATATTTTGTTTGCTTAATCTTTTATTGATGTTCTTTTGTAGGCTAGGCCACACAGCTGGAAAAAAAAACTAATATCTTGCTGAACGTTTAAAATGTGGGAGTTAAGAAAATGGATGGCAAGATAAGTGCAAAAGCTTTCAGATAGTTACAGCAATTAAATTGAAAGGGTTGAACTGTGCGTGCTCCATTAATCTCATCATACCTCAAATAACAGCATTAACATCTTAATTGCTCATGATCACTAATAAAGTAAGGAAGAAAACAGGCAGGGAGTCCACGGAGGGCGACAGCTGGGTCAGGCAAAACAGCCAAGAGGAGAAAATATGTGGAAAGATGGGAAGAACTACTACTCAGTTTGAGGGGGGGGGAGTCATTTGTGGGGATCCTAAGCATGAACAGGTTTTCTCTGCAAATGAGAAATAACAGCTGACAAAGAATTTTTTTAAAAAAATTAATTTCTTCATTAACTGTATTTTGCAGCTCCTGCTCTTTGTATGCAGTCTTTCCAATATTATCAATGATGTGAACTGAATTCTGCAGTGAACTCAAGTTAAACAAAAATAATATCATTCCACATACACTTGGCTGGCCTCCTGTTTCTCATAGTAGGGGCCAAACCACACGTTACAGTAATCATGCTTGTTGTTTTTAAGTATGCTTAATGTTGTCACTTTTATTTTGAAAGAGAAGCAAGCACAGGGTTCTTGATGTGGCCTAATGTGGATCAGGGCTTCATGGTAGTTTCCCACTGAAAACTGCCACCCCTGCTGCTATTTGCTCCCAAAGCTTACCATTTATTGCAAACAGCAGTTTACTCAGCTTATTGAATGCTGTCTGGTTTGGTTTGCTGAATGGAGTAAGACAGGACATGTCTGGGAAGATAGACAATAAGCGTTGTCATGTCATATGCAGAAGTACAGTATTTGTAAGGCAGGCATATTCATTTATATCAGGAATAAGGAACCTGTGTCCCTCCAGCTGCTATGAACTGCCCTGAGCTTTATGGATGAAAGGCGGTATAAAAATTTAATTAATAATAATAATAAATACAGCTCTCATAATCTCTGGCCATTGACCATGCTGGCTAGGACTGATGGGAACTGAAGCTGAGCAACATCTGGAGGACTGCAGGTTCTCCAACCCTGGTCTAAATTAGATGCCTTTCCTTGTGTTTAACACTATGAAGTATGGTTAGGTTTTCCCCAGGGAAGTTAAAGAGGAGATGAACAGAATCCTTGGTAAGAAACATTTTATTGCAACAAGCTTCTTAAAACTGGATGCATTTCCAAGTATAAAACTCCTATTTAGGAGCAACCTTCCTTATTCATTTCTTACAAAAAGTGGTGCCTCTATCATTTTAGATGGGCTCTGCAGTGCCAGGTAGATAAGTGAGTGGTAAGAAGAAAGATCAACTACAAAACCTATTAGAATCATAGAACTGTATAGTTGGAAGGAACCACAAAGGTCATTAAGCCCAACCCCCTACAATGCAGGAATATTTTGCCCAGCATGGGGCTCAAACCCACAACCCTGAAATCAAGAGCCTCATGTTCTACCTGCTGAGCTATCCCAGCAAGATATTTTATTTATTGGATCCTCCTTTATACACAAGATACGAAGGCTGGGACATACACCACAGCTGGGTGCATGCTGGAAGCAATCGTCAGGGTTGATACTCTGCGTGCATAACAGAGTACAAAAAGTTTACTCATCGTACTGAATGGCAATAGGTAAGCTGTTAAGCAACACAAGAACCAGCTTGCCGCAGGCTTGCCTCTGACACATGCCTGTTGGAACTCTCATGTCAACATGAGCAAAGGTTTGTGGGAACTGGCACATTATAGAGGAACGATTGGCATACTGTTGCTAAATACTGTACGCCAAAAGATATGGGGAGGGCGTCAGATGCCCATGTAAAGGTTTCAGAGTACTTTCAGAGAACAAGAATTCCCCAGCCTCCTCTTATTGTTCTGAGGAGGTTGTTGGGGGTATTATTATTTGTTTCCTGAAAGTACTCTGAAACATTTACCTATGCATCTGAGGCCCTGCCATTATAAATCAGTGCATTTAGTGAGTTGTGCAGACTTCCATGAGAGAGACCAAGTATCTGGGCAAATCCTCCTGTGGGGCAATGGCAATGTGGTTTGGCCCATGCATGGCCTATGTGACCCTCATGGTCCCTTCCAACTCTACAACTCTATGATTCTATGTTAATTCTATGCCTAGCAGAACTTCTCATCACATAAACGTTTCCTCTAGACAAGCAGGATATCTTCTTCCAGTGCTGTTCTGGTGAGAAGTATATTCTCTTAACCCACCAACATGGTATAATACATAAGCTTCTAACTTCCTGGCCTTTCCTGGAAACAGCCCAATAAAATAATTTAGCAAGTGAAGGATGGCTGTCAAGTTAATTCCTCGGTGCTGGCTGTTCCTTAACAAAAGGCAATGATTCAGGTGTCTACACCCAGCCATTTAATGCCCTCAAACCATTTATGCAACTCCCGCTGCTGATGCCTAAATTAAATCTAAAGCCCTTTGGGATGAAAAGTGCTGTATAAGAGAAAGGTGGTTTTTTAAGGATATAAATTTTTAAGGCTATAAAGATCCATATGCAAGAGTGCAGTAGCAGGCCCACTGGGATATCTTTAGAGAAATTTTTAATGACTTTCCTTTCAGTTAACTTTCAAATGACCTGATTTCCTTCTCAAAAACATAGGGTGATATCCAAATATAGTCCTATTCAGAGCAGACCCATATAAAATCAATGGTTTATTTTGAGCATGACTAAGTCTGGATGTCACCCATAATGTCCAGAAAGCGTAATCTCTATTTAACTTTGGTGGTTTGCTTCCCTTCTCTCTTTTTTGTATCTTCATGTTGTTATAGTGGTACCTCGGAAGTCAAACGGAATCCGTTCCAGAAGTCCATTCGACTTCCAAAACATTCAGAAACCAAGGCGCGGCTTCTGATTGGCTGCAGGAAGCTCAGCCAATCAGAAGCCACGTCGGACGTTAGGGGTTCCAAAGAGGGTTTCAGAGGGTTTCCTTTCTTACTTTTTCTTTTTCTGGAAGAACTCCCAATTGCCTGTCTCAAAGTAGGTTTCAAGGTACAGCCTTGCAAGTGGAGTTCAATCCATTGAGTCTAATAGCAGGATGAGGAACAGAAGAAAGAAACAGCAGCTTGTGGGTAGGGTTGGCCCTTCGTCATCAAGATGATATCTGCTGCTACATGCATGCAACCATCAGCTGCCAAATGGTATGTTGTCATGAGCTAGCAATGAGTTGAGGCAGCAGCAGCAAGTGATAAATCTCTTTTTCTTCCGATAGTTTCCACTTTTTGTGGTGAGCAGAAAGGTGGGTTTTTAATTATTATTATTATTATTATTATTTACTTCTTCTTTTCTTCCTAGGGATTGCCAAACAAACTGATTTTGCATAGTTCGTGCCTGAACTGGTATTAAGATTTGGGAAAGAAACTGAATCAGTTATGTTAAATAATCTTGGCCTTAAAATGAATTCTATTATCTATCTTTGTAAGCAACATCTGTGAAACTCATTCTGGAGCTGGTGGTCAAATACCTATCAATTAAACCATTCTTAAGTGACCGCACAGTCCTTAAAGAACAGGGGTTTTCCATAGTATGTACTGTACACAATGTACTTCACTGTGTTTTAGACAACAGTTGCATAATTTGTGACAACCATTCCATTCGTGTCCCAGAGAAATAATTGGATTAGTTACTTACTTAAAGCCTGTTTACCACACTCTTCAGCCAAAAAGACTCTCAGAGGAGCTCACAAATCAAGGAAACAAGCAATAAAACCACAAATGTATTTATAGAGCTTTAATTGTATGTCTTTAAACCAATAAATACCACACAAACACACTCAATAAAATGAGTGAACCAGTGATGCATAATGCAGTCCTGTAAAATATCAGAAGCAAGTCCCTTTGAGCCAGTGAGCGTTATATGAAACAAGTGATATGAGTTGAACACCTCATTATCCAGAAAGCCAGAAACTGAATCAATGTTCGGTAACTAAGGGTAACATACTGCTTACTAATTCTAGTCACCATTGTTTTCCTTGTGATTTTTTCCTAATAAGAAAGACTCAGGTTGATCCTCATTGCGACCTGGTGCAAGGTCATCCGGTAAACCCACGTCTGAGCAGGGATTTGAGCCCAGGGCTTCCCAGTCCAAGCACACTCACGGGCCACCGAATTCAGAGGAACTTGTTCCCAAAGTAAGTTGCCTAGGATTGCAGCTTTAGTCATTATTTCTTAAAAGCCATCTCGTAAGCCTGACATGCAAGCATCTCCAGGCAAAACGCCTCTCCACTCTGTTCCTTAGTTCAGTTCCTTGTCAGCTCCTTCCTACTCACCTCTTTTATAGCAATACTTTAGCCACCTCCACACATAAAACAATACAAATGCCGCCTCCTCGGAGCTCAATTGTAACAGCACGAGGAAAACATTTCTGGTTAGATGGGCACACTCCCATGATTTCTAGCAAAAAGTTTTCAACAGCTTCCCATCACCTGCTGCAGTGAACAATCACTTAATGCTGCTTCTTTTTTGCCAAAAAGAAATTGTATGCTTTGTGTATGTTTTTAGGCACCGGTTTGGCCAACGTCACAAGACCCAGAATCAGAATGGAGTGGGCCCTACCGTTCCGTGCTGCTGTTTCCTTGTAGCTTCCTTCTGAGACCAGGTTCTGTTATGATGGTGCTATAAGGAAAACAGGAAACACAAATGTCAGGGAATAGGAACATAGGAGGTGGCCTTATACTGAGTCAGACAATTGGTCCGTCTCGCTCAGCCTTATTTACACTATTGGGCAGCAGCTCTCCAGGATTTGAAGCAAGGTTTTCTCCCAGCCCTGCCTGAAGATGCTGAGGGTTGAGACAGGGACCTTTTGCATGCAAAGCAGATGTTCCACCTCCGAGACAAGGCTCTTCCCCACGACAGACAGCTCATGCCATCAACTAATGAAGGGACCACCAAGGGGCTGAGATGAGGGTGCTGTTTTATTTGCTTTTCTAGCTTTTGTCTGTTTAATATTTGAACATAAAACAGATAGATGGCAAGTAAATAATGGACAAACTCTGCCCTACCAAACAGACCAAGAATGAATTTGAGCAGACAGAAATGAACAACAACTAGCACAACTTTACTGCACACACACACACCCCATTTGGTGGGTAATCTGTTGTGGGAGATGGTCAAAGCCAGTGTGGTGTAGTGGTTAAGAGCAGTAGTCTTGTAATCTGGGGAACCGGGTTCGCGTCTCCGCTCCTCCACATGCAGCTGCTGGGTGACCTTGGGCTAGCCACACTTCTCTGAAGTCTCTCAGCCCCACTCACCTCACAGAGTGTTTGTTGTGGGGGAGGAAGGGAAAGGAGAATGTTGGCCGCTTTGAGACTCCTTCGGGTAGTGATAAAGCGGGATATCAAATCCAAGCTCTTCTTCTTCTTCTTCTTCACTTATTTAAATGGCTCTTTGAAAGGATTGGCCATTCCACAGAGAACAGGCTGCAATGGAGGACTTCGGGCTCTCAAATTTCAGCAGCGCCCTGTGCAACGCTTAAATTAGTCCTCCCTGCCAACACCTCCCACATTCTGTTCTACAGCATTGTTGCGGTGCCCCCTGCAGTGTGGCCACACTGGCTGTGCTACCCTAAAACTGCCTATGCAGCCTGCAATCCCATAACCACTCTCAGTGGGGGAATAATTTAAGTTGCACTCTGTGGGACTTGCTTCTCAATGGACATGTATAGGATTGTGATGTGAATGGACTAAATCTCCCTTAGTTTGACCCTACAGGACAGCTCTAATGCCTCATACTATAATTAAAATTCAGTTTGCTAAGTATGTTGGATAGGTTATGAATGCACATACTTGTTATGTCTGCATGAAGTTCGATGTGAATATGGCAGCTGCCACCCACTGCAAATATATGGTTAATAAGTACCTAGGTGTGCCAGTACACACCAAGCTAGAGTGAAAGCACGTCTGATGATGAAGCACAGGAGGAGAAGCCCTTCAAAGCTGTGAATTGTGAAATTCTCTTCTGGTTAAATTAAAATCCGAAAAGCACTTGGTGGGCTTCTAGAGTTTCTTGCTAAGACACTGTTACGTGGATTGTTAATGAACTTTGTTTTATGTGTAAGCCCAACATTCCCTTTATTCACAAAACATTACCTTACAAATCTCCAGCAGCCTCTGTTGTTCTCATCTCTTGGACTAATCAAAGTGATTTTTGTTGCTGACTCTCGTTGAACTGGTTTCCCCCACCTTCTTCATTCGCAGGGCTTGACATTATTTACATAAGTTCTTTGGAATTCTAAAAGGGAAAATGGCACAGAAGTGCAGGATATGATTATTTTGTTTGTACAGTATTAGAGATCCCAACCCTTCTGTGCTGAATCAGCACAGTAAACAGCAAACCTTGCAAACATTATTAGCTTAAACAATGAATGAACAGGAAGCAAGGCCTCTTTCACTTGGGGAACCTAGTTTTCTTCTCTGTGTTATGTTCTGGGAACAGCAGAACACAACATCTGAGACACTTC